GCCTTTAAAAATATTTTCTTGCCTGCTTGGTGTTCAGTCATGCGAACATCCTTGCTGAGTTTTAAAAGGACCATAGCCTTTAAAAATATTTTCTTGCCTGTACCTTCAGTCATCCAGTGAACATCCTTGTGCTGCAGTGGCAGCTGCTCTCAGAGCAACAATTAACAAAATCTGCTCAGAGAATCATTTCTAATGGCCAATCAGGAGCCTTCCTGGGCAAAAGCCTCACCTGGCCCCACCCACTTTGGTAGGCAGCATGGCACCCACGGGGGACCACATTAGGCGCCCACGGGGGACCACATTAGGGACCCCTGCAGTACATCACGGTGAGATGATCTAGAGAAGGAAATTTAAAAAATAATTGAAATAACAAATGTGGCTCTGAAAACTATAACCTAGAAAGCACACCAAAAATGTGTGGTTGAAAATATAGATCACTGTACCATAATAAATATGTCCCAGATTTTATTACAGCTTTCTCAAACATCAAAACTAACAGAGATTCACCATCCATTAAAAAAAACTAGGTGCCCCAGAGAATCACCACAAGGTGGCAGTGTAGCAAAATATTTAATCACTCCCCCCCTTTTTTACTTGGGAGTACAAGAAAGTATTAAGATGAATATCTGACAACAAAAACTTACTTTAATGGCTTTATTACAGGGCTTTCTGCAGCTGTGTCACATAACACACTTTCGATCCCCTTTCAATGCACTTTGCAACTGGATCTTACTGTGAGAAATGGCAAAGTCCACTTGCAAATGGTCGCTGAAGTGAATTGAAACGGGATTTAGCATGTGAGAAAGCACCCAGGAGCTTTCACACTTGCTAAATAATGCAGTTTCAGTCCACTTCAGCGACCGTTTGCACGTGGACTTTGCCATTTCACACAGTAAAATCCAGTTGCAAAGTGCATTGAAAGTGGATCAAAGGTGCATTATTTAGCATGTGTGAAATTATATATACCGTATAAGCCCTAGTGTGTCTTCTTGAGAAAAAATAAATATAAGACAGTGTCTTATTTTCGGGAAAACACGGTAGTATATGGAAATTGCTACATTGTGGTGTGCAAACTGTTGAAAAGCTCAATGTGTAGCTGTGCAGAGCAAGAAACAAAGGTTGACAGATCAGTTTTGAAGCCCGTAAGTATCCCTGCACCCCACCCCCGGAGTCTTTAAAATACAGGCAAACCTACAATGGGAAATTTTATACCAACAATATGGGGATTGCTTCCACCTCTATGTTGCATGCCTCCATTCCATCATGATCACCTGCATGATTTCACCCATTAAAACTACCCTTGTAACCCCACAATGTTACTAGCCTTGGAAGGAAAACATACTTGTCTCCTTTCCTCTTGCCCAGCTAATATAAACCAGAGAAAGGGAGTTCAGTTTCAAATGGCATAACCGGGGGTGCCCCGGAGCGGCGTTCCAGCAGCAAGGAGCCCAGGCCCCACCCACCCCTTTCCTGGCCCGCCCGCAGAGACTCAGGGAGGGGGGATTTAAATGCTTGAGTTCCCTTGCCACGGCGGGTTGGCTGGGGAGGGGAAGGGGAGGCGGGCAGACATGTCTCCTTTTCCCCTAAGCCTCTCCGCTTTTGCAGAGAGACTCAGGGAAGGGGGGGATTTAAACTCATTTGCATATGCCTTAACTCATTTTAAACATGCCTGCCCTTTGTCAGGGGGTGTGGCATATGCAAATGAGTTATGCAAATGAGCTCCTGCACCCTAGATAACCATGCAGGGACTCTGTGGATCAGTACTCCTAAAACACACCTATTTCTACTTTTAAACTGCTTGGAACATCTGATCGTGGCTCTCTTAGCATCTTGTCTAGTTAAGAAGCCAAAACACTGTGATTCCTGCAAACCCAGCTTAGCATGCAAAGACTATCACTTTGCAGCACTTGTATCATTTACAGCCGTTTACAGCTGTTCCCGATACCAGATGGAAAGGGGTCAGGGAAAGGGTTGCCTCCAGCCAGAAGACCCATCTAGTATACAAGGCTATGGCATTACTGGTTCTGGCTCTGTGCAATTGGTAGCTGTGCCCGTAATGCAAATTAAGCTGTGCCCGTAATGTTGATAGAAACGCAATTGACATGGGGATCGGTACCGTGCCTGTAAGGACTGTCAGCGGCAGGAATGATAATCCAGCAAACAAAGTTGTCTGTCTCAAGCCATGTTTTATTATCTGTCACTAAAAAAAAATATCTAAGAGTCATTCTTCTGCTGCTATTACACAATCATTTTTCTTCTCTCTGTCTAGCCATGAAATACCGCCAAAGTATCAGGATAATTTTAAAATGCTCCTTTTTATTTCCATGGTTGCACATTTGGTAATTAAATAATATGTCAACAAAGTCATATATGGATTTTTTTAAACAGGCTGCTAGATGAGTTACAATATATGGAATAAGAGAAGAAATTTACTGAACTGTTGGTGAGAATGTGCAGTGTAAAAGGTTCGCCACTGGTCGTTTTGTATGGGCAAATTAAGGTATTTTGGTGAAGCGCTTTTTATAGAAAATAAAATTCTGAGACATCTCAAGTAACTTGGAAGTTAGGCCCCTATTTCTTAACTTTTCCCCCCCACTAACTGTCTCTCTCGGCCCATTTCATGTTTCTTTTGAGGGAGCTGCTTGAAATTAAAAAATAAACCCAAGTTATGGTCGCTTTTACCATTAGATATTCTTTTCCAAAATATAAATGAAGTTTTGGCAAACAATATTTATACAGAAATATAGTTTTAGTTCTTCCCAAATCCAATGAAATTCTACAAAATTACTCTATAATAAATAAATAAAACCATGTTCTGGTACACTAAGTGTTTTTATATTTACTGTGAGCACAGATTGGAAGAAGGAGCAACAGAAGCAAAGCAAAGTGCAGTTCAGCATTGGCAGGGAGGAGTAAGGATCGGCGATAAAAGTTTTGCTTTCGCCGCGACAGCCACAGAGGAATGGGCTGGTTTTGCGTGCCCGGATTGCTGGCCCCTCCAAGGCTGCTGTGTGATGCCACTCTATGGGCCACTGTATGATGCCGGATGCTGGACTAGAAGGACCACTCGTCTGTTCCCGCAGGGATGTTCTTTGCAAGAATACCAGCATGGCGGATTGGCCTTACACTGTTAGTCCTTAAGCGAGACACAATCTAGTAGAAGCCAACCCTAGGCTAAGACATTCAATTCAGGCCAAGGACTGATGTCGGAACAAGGAGAGGCAAGCGACAAACTAGTGGAAGGAAGCAGCATGTTTGGGTTTTTTTTAGATGGCCAAAGGTTGAAAGGAAGAAACCAGTCCTTTGGAAGGCAAGCAAGGATATGCACATAGCTTGAGGGTTAGAACGGCACGGGTGGGGACGGAATGGAGCAACACTGTATGGAAAGCTGTTGGATGGTTGGACAGCAGATGAAGAAGGTTGGTTTTTATACCCCGCCCTTCACTACCCGAAGGAGTCTCAGAGTGGCTTACAGTCTCCTTCCCTTCCTCTCCCCACAACAGACACCCTGTGAGGTAAGTGGGGCTGAGAGAGCTTTCAGAGAACTGTGACTGACCCAAGGTCACCCAGCTGGCATCATGTGGAGGAGTGGTGAATCAAACCCGGTTCTCCAGATTAGAGACCGCCGCTCTTAGCCACTACACCAGACTGGAGGAATCAGATCTGGCATGATGCATAAATAGGGAAGTAGCAGGAAGGCAGTTGAGCAGGGCTAAGGTAGGAACAGACTCTGGAAGGGATGGTCACGCTTAATGGTTCGTGTAGTGCACGGGGAGGAAACACCAGGAACTTGGAAACAAAAATCAAATTGGCGAATCAGGACATGCTAGGAATGAGCAGATTACTGCATTCTTGGGAAGTTCCAAGAAAACAGATAAGAGCTCAGAGACATTGCGACTAGACAGCTTGCTATGGAGGGGCAGTTACATTTAAAATGAAGGATGGGCTTCATCCCTGCAGATGCTGGTACCTCTGTTTGCACAGCCTCTATCTCGTCCTCTGAAACCGTCACCCTCAAAATGACACTTTCTACTGTCACCCCATTGCCGTCAGTGCAGCTATTCTGAGGCGAAAGACAATGACTGACACAAGTGTGTTAAGACTTTGTAGGGACAGAAGAAACTTATATGCTGATACGATGAATCTCTTTTTTTAAAAAATACATTTTCTCTCTTTGTTCAGGAGTAAAATTCATATATATTGATATCTGACCACCAATGGGCAGAAAATAATATTAGAGTGATTCTAAGAAAATAATATGTTCACTAAAATGTCTGCCTTCTACAGTTTAAATATTTAAACATACATAAATTACCATTTAGTATTTTCCAACAAACTACCAAATGTTTAAAATGGTTCATTTAAAAAAAACAACCCAAACCTACGGATGTAGGTAAACTGCCATATCAGAAACCTAGTTATACTGACTGAGAAAAAATTACAAGTAAAAATAAAAGAAGATACATATTCCTCACAAATTAAAAGAAATGCAAGATTACAAGCACTATGTTTACCATTAGAGTTTGGGTCTTTCCCCCTTTTAGGTGATCAAATCTACAGTTTTGATATAAACAGATAGACATTTGAAAAACAAATTTAACACTGGAAAATAATTTCATTAAACAAATAACCCGTTAGTGCTTATGGTCTTTCAAAACAGGCAGGCTGAAGAGCTTAGAATCAATCTGAAAAGGCTAAGTTAAAATACTGCAATCATTCATAATGTTCACATGGAAAAAACAGATGTTTCAAACAATTATACATATTTCCATAGAACAGCTGCTTTTTTGTTTTATAAACAATAATTTAAAAACTATGATTTTCTGTGAGATATATATATATATATATGCAACATATAAAATGTGAAATGACATATTTGGTACAACAGTGTAGGAAATAAATCTTAAAAACAAACCTTCTACATTAATCCAAATGTATATAATTACCTTGTAAATCAACACGTATTTAAAAAAGTAAACATTAAAATCTGTTTTGTCCATATATATGTATGTGTATATATATAATATGTATATAGCTGTATTAAAGATATCTTCATTTTCTGTGACATAAAATAAACTTTTAAAGAAAAAAAAAAGGTTAAAAGAACTAGTTTCTCTCTCTGTGCTGTAATCCGGTTACAACTTCTTTAACCCAGTTTTAAAAATACGGCAACAGTAAGAATGAATAAATTGAAGCTCTCTCTATATCATGTTCAAATTCTCCTAACCTTCTAGATTTAAAGTCACTTATCAAGTTTTCAATGACTGCAGCCAGTTTTAATTAAATTAGATTATCATGCTAATCTCTTCATCTATAGCCCCGTTCTCTTTAGTTGGGAAGAAGTTATTTCATAACAAGTTCTTTTTGGTAACCTGATTGTAAATCTTAAAAGCTTAAATCACTTGGTATAGATTCAATTAGAGACCTCAGGATCACTTATTTTCAAGTCTGGCGTGGCAAAATTTAGGCACTTCTGCAAAGGCTTTTTTTTAAAAAATATTTTCTCTCTTTGTAAAATAACATAGTCAAGACTTTGTTAGGGGTATGAAAATCATACCGTGCAAAGGAGGTTTTAGCTTCAGTTCTAGAATGCCGTCATTCCGATACTGCTTCTCCATACAAGTCTAAAATCATCTGTGCATCTCAGCAATTTGTGCTTTACCTTGGACTCTATTGGGAATTTTTAGGTGGCGACATGCAGGAATCGAGGGTTCTGCTTTTCACGTCACCTCTTTTATCTTGGCATCAACTGCCTAGCAGAGAAGTGAGCTTTTTAAGAGAGTACAAAAATTGTCAAAGGGTTAAAAGTTAAGATCTCCGGTTTGTGTGTATTGGCCAGGATCCAAAGAGTTATCCCAGTGCACCCAAGTGCTTGCACATGCCCAGTGTGATTTTTTTTAACTTAACCCCCCCCAACTCCCCAATTTGAGCAGCAGATTCCTTTGCTGAAATTTTCTGCAGTTTCAAAAGTGATGTGTCCTGTGGAGTTGGCCAAAACTGGCTGCTGGAGAAAGCTACCTTGACCGTGTGGAATTTGTCGTGTGGTTCTTTGGATCCTGGGCTTAGTGGCCAATGTAAATCGTTTATTGCTAACATTGAAAGATTCATAAAGTTGTGAACCCTACAATAATACATGAATAGGACTACTTACATTAGCTATAGTTATGGTGGCAAGACAATACTCCTAAGAAGTAAACGGTGTCGTATAAAATCTTTTAAAAGTAAAACGTTACCCTTTTTTATGTCTTGAACCATCACAGCTAGCATCAGGTAGTTAACTAGATTAGTTTGGAATATACTAAGCATACCATATTTAATATTCCTATATGATATAGCAGCACTAGCTCCTTAGTGTTTGTGATTTGTCCGGACGAACAAACTCGTTACTCAGCATGCAGTTTGTGGCAATTCTATCGAGGAAGAGACAGGGTAGTATGTACAGTAACAATGCTTTGCTGTTCTCAACGAAGCCTCTTGACATTCCATTCCATTCCTGTTGGCTACTTGAGGATTATCTGTTAGGAAAAAAGAAACACTGTTGGGATGTGTGGAAAGACTTAAAACACATGCACATACACCCCCCACCCCCCGATATTAGCGTATTCTCGTGTTACCTAAAAATGAAAACACAGATTCACCTGAGATTTTATTAACTAAACTTTTATCACATGCAGGCCTTTCCCAGTGACACTCGTCTTTTCCTTTTAACTGCACAACCTCAAGGAACCAAGAAAACCTAAGACAAACAAGCACACTCCAAAATATGTCTTGTGTTTAAAGAGAGCTGAATTGTATGGGAGGACAAGCAAGTCCCTGCAAAAGGCATAGAGAGCTATCAGAAACACCCATATACTCCTTCGATGTTCGCTGCAGTCTCTAGATGGAGGGACAGTCACAGTATAATGTACAAGATCTAATCAGGAGGATGCCTGGGGTTATTGCAAACCCAAAGCTTAGCCATCCTCTTGCTGAAGTCAGTAAGAAGAAGAGGAAGAAGAGACTGGATTTATACCCTGCCCTTCACTCGGAGTCTCAGAGCGGCTTACAAACTCCTTTCCCTTCCCCTCCCCACAACAGACACCCTGTGAGGTAGGTGGGGCTGAGAGAGCTCTTTTGAGGACTGCTCTTGAGAGAACAGCTCTGAGAGAACTTATGACTGACCCAAAGTCATCCAGCAGGTGCAAGTGGAGGAGTGGGGAACCAAACCCGGTTCTCCCAGATTAGAGTCCGCGCACTTAACCACTACACTAAACTGGTGGGATACGCACCAATAGTCTGAACGCATCTAAAAGGTGAATTAATTGGTAGGTATGGGCTTTTTCAATACAGTTCATGTTCCAGTAATAATGTTTTATTTATTTATCTATTTTGCAATCATTTTTTTCTGAGGCTATATCAGAACAGTGGTTTCTCTGGAGATCAGGAGCACAATCCTACCCTAAAATTTGGGTAGATTCAGGCTGTCTCTGAACGATTCGAGGCACCATGTTAACCTCTGATTCTCCTGTCATATAATTCCTTCTCTAACCAAGTAGTTTTCAAACCAGAAGTTGGACAGGATTCCAACTTCTCATACGATACTTAATATGCTTAGCCAGTTCTTGAGAAACAAGAAGGTATCATGTCTCAAAGGTGAGGACCAGTAAGTAAGGATTTATTTCAGGTTTGTATACAGCCACTCACCAGATTGGTAGTCTGACTAAAAGTAGAAACAGAGAAGGTATTTTACAATTGATGGTTCTTTTCTTTCAGGTCATGAATGACTACCAAATATGGTAGGCTAGTAAAATCTTGTAGGGTCATAATTTTGTGGATTTATTTGCTGGGTTTCTTTTCTAAGAAAGATATTATTTGGGCGAAAAATGAATCTGTTGCATTTTTTTGGTAGCAACTGGTGGTTTTATGCACAAAATTCAGTTGTACCAACGGATACCATCGGCTACTAGAAATCACAACACTCTATGCTAATACGGAGCCTACACTTCAGACCTAAAAATAAACATTTAACTGCAGTTTTACCCTAAACAGTGTCAGTTTCCAGCACATATTCTGGCTACACTCTGAGATGGCCTTAAGCAAAAAGGGCCCAATTCAACGCAGCCCGAATTTTGCGGGGCCGGGCAGGGGAGGGAGAGCCAGCCAGAGGCGGGGTGGGGGTTGATGGGAGCCCGCTTGTTCAAGGACTGTCAAAGATTACCCTCACAACCAGATGTCGTCTGTGTGAACTCCAGCAACCTACCATCCCGCTGTCACTACCTATGCCGGCCGGCTGGGCGTTTGGGGTACATCGGCTGGCAGAGGGCCATCTGATGCACTGGATTCGGTGGACCCATGCTGCACCAATACTTCTTACAGCTGTAGTCAATAAAGCTGTGGCCAATTTACTCCACGTATTTTCCGAATTCACTGTTGTGTATGTGGTTCTTTAATACTGGTCCGTATGCAGCCAGTTGGGGGGCTCCCCCCTCCCCCCATAAGAATGGAGCCCGCAATAAGAAATCTATCAATTTACTGCAAATTTTCACTACAAATGTGTGCAGTATGTGCTGCTAATCAAAACAAAATATTACCTCTGACCTACAGATGACCCAGACCCAAAAACTCATTTGTCACGTACTAGAAGTGGGCTTATTTCAACTGCTACAGAATTAGTGCCTGTATTAAAAAAAAAACAAAAACCTACAAATGGCTGCTAATGCCAAAACTGGTACATCTAATCCAGCATCCTGTTTCCCATGTTGGCTCAGAGGACCGGCCAACAGGGCATGGAGGCCAAGGCCTTCCCCTTGTTGTTGTCTCCAAGCACTGGTGTTCAGAGATTTACCGCCTCTGAATGCATTGGAATTCCCATTAGTCACCATGGCTAGTAGCTCCTGATAGAACTGTCCTCCATGAATCTACCTAATCCCCTCTTGGAGCCACCAATGCTGGTGGCCACCATCGCGTCCATTGGCAGGGAATTCCAAAAAGGTAATTACTCTGGAGTGTCGTACTTCTGTGAGCCTCCCACTTGCCCATGAAGTGGGATGAGGGAGCACGTAGTCCATGTCTTGTACTCCATCTGCACAACTAGACTAAACTAGCTGTTATTTACACTCTGCTCCTCCAGCTACACCCGACTCCCAATGAACAGTCGCCAGGTGAAGAATGTCTGTTCGTATGAACAGAACGAGCAGTCACTAGATCATTCTAATGAATGATCCAGCAGCTATCACTACAACTGAAAGGGGACATTGCTTGGGTTTTGCATCTCATCAGCCGTCCAATTTAAACCTTCCGGTAGTCAAAAGATATCCTTAGCATCTTCTGTGAATGGGATCCATTTCCCCTCACTCTGCTACTGCCACTGCCAGGTTATTATGCAGGGTACCAAGACAATGAGCCCTAAAATATGGCGTCTGGCAGCGACTGGCACAGGGACTGCTTAGCTCCGTTGAAGACAATGAACAAGGCAGATGCTTATCTCATTTAGATTAAAGACAGAAGGCTCCTTCCGCATCAGCAGAACAGCTCTATAGGGTCCAACCCAAGGCATGGTTAAAAGTGGCAGTAATTTCTGGGTTGAAAACAGATTTGATGGCCAAAAATACAGACCTGTTCAACTGACACTTCTTCTTAATCCATAGAATTAATTAACAGACACATTTAAGAGGCTTCACCTCTTGACTGCATTCACTAAATAACCAAATTTCATTTTCATGTTCAAAATTCACAACAAAAGAAAAAGTAACCAAGCCGTGAACTTTAGCTATAGAGAATTTTTATATTGCTTTCCTTGATTGGCATATTAACAATGCAATCCCATTGATTCTTCAATGTTGACTGGAGTAACTCTGCTTAATATTGCTCCACAAGTATGTTTAGGGTTGCCGTCTGCCCAGTGGGGGTGGGGATCCCCTGATTTTGCGGGCTCCTGCCCACTACCAGAATCCCCCCCCCAACAACGACACCACATACAACGTACCTGCGTCACCCGGAAGTAATGTCAACACGTCAGCGGTGAGCTCTGGATTTTGGGCAAAACTCGATGGTTTGATGCCAATTTTAACATAGAGTTTTGCCCAAAATCCAAAGCATCACACACACACACCCATCGCTGGTGTCACTTCTGAGTGATGCAGGCAACATCACTGTTTTTGGGGAAATGGGGGGCAATGTCACTTCCCACTCCCAGGACGTCCCCCCATCCCCCCCGCCAGCAGGTCAAAGGGACCTGACAACCCTAAGTGTGGTCAATTTGATTCAAAACCTCGCTCTGAAGCGAAGTCCTCGTTTGATTGCAATAAACCTGTTATGGGTATGCAGAACGGTTCGATTTCCCGAGTCAAAAATCCTCAGTGGTATCCTGGAGTTCCTTCCCTAGTCTAGTTAATGGCTTATTATATAGTACTTCAGTTTTGTCATAAAAGAACACCTCTTTTCTGCCTAAGTGAGAATGTTCATCATCTCTACTCATTAACCTAGTTGTAGTCACAGGCGATTCACGGGACAGTTTCATGGCAGGGAGGAGAGACTCTCAAATGCACTGAAAGTTTCTAGTTTTGTTATACAGCAATTCACATGGTTCTCCATTCTGATGTACAATGTGAACCTAGACAACCGTTGTGATGTGCATTCACCAATCGCTAGCAGATGATGTTTCTTTTTTTACTATTTGGCAGAATGATACAGTTGACCAAGATACCCTGGGTTGTAGCAATTCACCCTGGAGCAGGTTAATCATGTGTATCAGCTCAGAGGTGATTAGGTATATAACCATACACATGGTAACTCTGTCAGTAATTCCTGTACTCAATTGTTATACAGCAATTCACATGGTTCTCCATTCTGATGTACAATGTGAACCTAGACAACCGTTGTGATGTGCATTCACCAATCGCTAGCAGATGATGTTTCTTTTTTTACTATTTGGCAGAATGATACAGTTGACCAAGATACCCTGGGTTGTAGCAATTCACCCTGGAGCAGGTTAATCATGTGTATCAGCTCAGAGGTGATTAGGTATATAACCATACACATGGTAATTCCTGTACTCAATTTTTTTCTTAAACACCTTGAAGATGCCTTATAAAGGTCACCTGCTAATGCTGCAAGGGGCACAGCTTGTCTGTTTCTATGCACTAGCGATTTTATGAACCTGACATTCTTTAGTGACTGTAAGCATTACTACCCAAAACTACATCAATTAGAACAAGAAGAGCTGGCTTTTATACCCCACTTTTCTTTACCTTAAAGAGTCTCAAAGCGGCTTACAATCACGCTTCCCTTCCTCTCCCCACAACAGGCACCTTGTGAAACAGATGGGGCTCAGAGAGTTCTGAGAGAACTGTGGCTGGCCCAAGGTCACCCAGCAAGCCTTCTTGTGGAGGGGTGGGGAATGAAACCTGGTTCTCCAAATTATAGTCTGCTGCTCTTAACCACTACACCACGCTGGTGTTTCATGTGAGCAAAGTGAAGTTTGCTGCTTTCAGTTCCTTTAACAACAGCAACAGAGAAGGTACATGTGGGCAGAGAA